GAACGCTTCACGCTCGTTCTGGCTGTCATGGCGGACGGCAAAAAGGTTTCGCCGCGCATGATCTTCAAGGGCACGCCGTTCATCCCCCCGACTGTGAGCGGCAAGGGCAAGAGCACGCTGCCGCGGAAGAACTCTGTCGCGTGGGAGATCCATCCTGCGAACCGCGCCAAGCACGGCCACCCTGCCAACGGTATGTCCTTCGGCGTGCAGGAGAAGAGATGGAGAGACCAGCGGGAGTGCAACGGGTGAATCTCGGGCAGCTGGAAGCTCCGTCCCAACAACGGCAGCATCGTCCAGCANGCCTCCCCTCGCGTTGATTTTTTCCCCCTCCGCTCAGGCAAAGAGAAGGAACGCTTCACGCTCGTTCTGGCTGTCATGGCGGACGGCAAAAAGGTTTCGCCGCGCATCATCTTCAAGGGCACGCCGTTCATCCCCCCGACCGTGAGCGGCAAGGGCAAGAGCACCCTGCCGCGGAAGAACTCCGTCGCGTGGGAGATCCATCCTGCGAACCGCGCCAAGCACGGCCACCCTGCCAACGGCATGTCCTTCGGCGTGCAGGAAAAGAGCTGGAGTGACCAGCGGGAGTGCAACGGGTGGATCTCGGGCAGCTGGAAGCTCCGTCCCAACAACGGCAGCATCGTCCAGCAGCGCCCGTGCATCCTGGTGCTGGACGACTTCAAGTGCCACAAGGACGAGGGTTTCATCGCCGCCCTCAAGAGAGACGCCAACGCCATCGTCATCTTCATCCCAGGCGTGTTGACGCCCTTGCTCCAACCGCTCGACCGCATGCTCAACAAGCAGATGAAGCGGCTGCTGCGGGGCAAATACACCGCCTACAGCGCGTCGGCGGTCGCAGACGCCCGGTCGGGGAAGCTGAAGCCACCGGAGCGTGGGGTCGTCTCTACGTGGTGCAAGGAAGCGTGGGAGTCCATCACCTCCGAGACGGTGAAGACTTGCTTCAAAATCTGCGGTCTCACGCTCGCGCTCGACGGCAGCGAAGACCACGCCAGGTGCGAGCACAACTTCGGGGAAGACTACCGTGACCTTCTCGAGGAGCAGCACGCCGTGTGGTTCGCTGAGCACCCCGACGTGACTCTCCCGCCGCTCAAGCTGCCGAAGGTACCAGGGGGGTTCCACTCCAACCCCATCACGGCTGCTCAGAAGGAGGTCGAGGGGAAGCTGCTGCCCTACGTCGCTGATGAGAGCGACAGCGAGGTGGAGGTCTTGGAGGGCGACAGCGACGTGGAAGTCGTGGAGGGGCAGGGGGGCGGGGGCGCCGAAGGAGAAGTAGTTGAACTTTGAATCATAGTGATTTGGGATTGCCAGTGAGATTGGATTTTTTTGCGATGGTAGGGGCGCGGGCACGAAGTAGAGTTCAACCCGCCTAGGAAGTAAAGTAGTAGGACGTTGGTTGCTCGTAGTGGTAGTTTGGTGTGATTTTATACTTCGTTTTCGGTTCATCTGCGTTTAGAATTGTTGAGTGGATGCCGTTTGCCGATTTGTCGATCTTGATTCTTCAGAACAAAAAGAAGAGAACAAAGAGTACAACTACCACATTTTTTAGCATCGTCATGGTGCCAAGGGCAGCAGTAGCAGTGAAGCACGCGTTTCAAGCTCCCACAGTATCCGGAATTTCCAGCAAAAGATGCTGGTGAAAGGGTATAACTTACCGCCAAACCTCACCGCACATATCGGCGTCTCCGCACACGGAAGATACCTGTGCGATAGTCTAGCACATCATTCGGAACCCTCTTTTTTTCCGCACACCCTGTGCCAAGACCCCGATATGTGCCGAGACCCCGATGATTACGGTAACCATAATGAAGGTCGAGTAGATCATGTTGTGCGGGGTGGAGAACCCTCACTCCGCGCAAGGGGGATGATCGCACCACGTTGTGTT